GGGGATGAATGGCCGGTAGTGATGGTACTGCCGGCCACGCCCCCTCTTGCCTCGCCGCGGGTCTGCGATTGCCCCAACGCAGGTGTGGAAGGCCCAAATGATGGGGCATGGCAATTAAAGTCTTTGACATCAAACCTCAACTCACGATTCGGCAAAAAAGCCACACCCCTCCTCCCCAGTTGGGTGAAACGGTACCAATTGCAACATGGCGCGCCCCAGTCCGTTGCGAAGAGCAATAAATCGGCCTTTTGAGGGGACACAACTCGGACGCTACTCCCCAACCGGCCGTGTGGGCGGACTCGGACCTGGCGACGTGAGAATGGGAGGATGGCGTCTGTGAGTTGTTGCTAAGCTGCGGCCGGAGCCAATCCAGTCGCCGCGACGTCAAGTCGGCTTCGCGCGCCCACGGGGCCTGGCAGCCGAGTCCGGCTCGTCTCGGCCCATTCACAGACTTGCCCGAATCCCATAAACGGGCTTTGCTTGTCCCGTCGGGCCATCAACTTGCGCTGGCCGCCGCCCAACTACACCGAGGCTCATGTGATGCCGACGGGAGCCGTGTGTAGGCATGCGACGTGTCAAGACAACGCAGACTAAAGGGAGGCAGAAAAAGCAGCCGACAGACGGGTGGACAGACAGACACACCTGAATGACGAGTAGACACAAAAGAGAGCGATGCAGAGGAAGCAGGCTCGTGTACATGAAGAATGGCAACCATCGTTGCCATGGCAGCTGAAAGGCCATGTATGCGTAAATTTGGTCTCGTAGGCATGGGATGGTCAAGGGCATCTCTCTCCCTCGGCACGAAACTGCTCTCTTCCCTCCCGGTTGAGGTAGCAAATCAACTTCGAATTGCATTTATGCTGGGCTCCCGCCCACACTTACTGTCCCTTACACTACTCACATTTAGCCGTCAGTAGTATAAGCGTTAACTGCCTCCGGTCGGCTTATTAACTGGGCTGGTTAAGCAGATGTCTGGAGGATTTTATGGTATTGAAGAGTGGCGCTTGTTAAAGAAAGTGTGTTTGCGGCACTGAACTGGATGGAGGTTTATTAATGAGGAAAGGTCAGCAAAGGATGATTGATGAGGCGAAATTAGGTCGTTGCTCTTGGACAAGCGTCTTTTGAAGGCACTTGTTGGTGGATTTATTAGCCATTTGTGCTAAGAAAAAAATGCTAAAAGCCTTGACTATACATGAACCGAATAGAAAAGCGATATCCGAGCACCGAATAATTAATGCCCTCAAGCCAGCAAGACATATTGCTCTTGTCAATGTGCGGCAATTTCGTATGATGATACCGGAAGTTAGGACACAGTCAACGGGAGGCTTGAGCTCGCACTGCAATTCACTGCAGCCTGTATCGGATTCGCCCATAAAGCATAAAATAAAGAGCCGCTAAAGTAGTCGTTGGAGAATGGAATCTTGGTACCCCAGAGACTGGGATTCGCGCTGCTTTTCGAGGCGCACAACACACAACTCCCCAGAAGATAGACCACTTTAGCTGTTGCGCCAGTAGGAGAGACAAGCGAACACAGATTCTCGCAAAACCTCCACACTTTTGTTGCCGAGGCGTATTTTATATTCCATAAGGCTGACGAATCACACTTACATGTTTAGGCTGCTCTGACATGTGAGAAATACCACCAAAACCCCTATTCGTAAGGACTTTTGCATCTCAAAAGCTTCATATGCTCCAGTTCACATCTTCAGTAGGACTGTCGATTAGGCCAATCTGTATTTACCATTTCGATCGACGACTTTAGAGTCTACGTCGTGGATATATATATTATTATCCTTAAGCCTAATTACCACGTCCTACTCACTACTACTTACTAGCTTTCGATTGTGATGATAAATATATCGATGGTCACATCGATAATATTCCAATAAATGTATATATATATATATATATATATACGTTTATTTATACCTAATACTTGATTTAAAAATCACCATTTTACATTAATGGGGAAATTGTCTATATGGCAATTTATTGCTTGCTATTATATTCGAAGATGTAGTGAGCATTTGTGAGTAGTATGCGATTATTGAGCTTAAAGATAATACTGGAAAAAATATTTTTCACAAAGTAAACAGTGAAGTCGTTGAATGAAATGGCAAAAACTAATGTACCTAACCGATAATCCCACTCAAGGTGTGAACTGGAAAAAGTCTGGCCGCCTTGAAGGTCGCGTCTTCCCTCTGACCCCGATGCGGGCACACTTGGTGGGGTGTCGGAATGATGTATTCTGTCAATTGGGGGCCACGACCCGCTTTCTTGTCCCATTGAGGGTGGTGATGAGACGTGGGTCAGGTTGAACCTGCCGTCCAGCAGAAGTCAACAAGCCGTCATGAATGCGAGGCGAAGTGGAATTCAATGAAATTCTTAGGCTTACTCAAATCCTGCGAAAAAAAGTTGGGTTTCGAGGACTCTCTTGTGTCATAATTGTTGAGCTTACTTTCATTTCGAGTGAAAGTGTTGCGTGAAGAGGTTCGAAGGTCGGTTCCACCAGAAGATGACGGCGGATGCCTCTTGACCAGCTGTCGATTGGCTTTACTGGAACATTCTTGTTGACGCTGTTTCCGAGGCAATCTCCTTCGATTTCGGTGAAAATGTGCTAAGCTTTTGTCCGTCATGTGACGAACAGCATCAGAGCAAGTAGGGTATCATGGTCGAGCTAACGAGTCAAGAAAACTCACCGGCAACTCCGTAAACATTCATCTTCTGGTGGAACCGACCCAACACCTTCACTCGAAATGGAAGTAAGCACAACAATTACTCAATCTTGTCCTTCCTCTGCACATGTGGCGAACGATGATGAAAGTTCTTCTTCAAAAGCTACATGTCATTTATTTGTTATCAGCTGTCCCTAGACCCTTGAATGGCTCTTATCTTGGGTATTGGTATTGGGCGTGTCTTGTGGCAGCCTCAGGCCTCGATGAGTCCGTGTTCTGAGAAGCGAGATACCACGCTTAGGCACGCCTCGCTACGAAATCTCGGTCCAGATTGAGCTTCACTGCTCACGATTTAACATCCAAACAGGACTGCATTTCCGATCTCTTCTCATTCTGGTGGGATTCTGTCCGTGGATTTAACCACTGGGCAAGGTGACTATGGAATCGTCACTGTAAAGTAGATCTTTCTCGGCCTAAGTTCCGGACAGCCCACGCAGCTGACGCATATCGACAATGAACAAAGTGGGTTTCAGCACTAAATCATTACACAAGATGTGAATAGAGTTATGCCGTGAAATTGATGCCTCTCCTCCTCTGGACCCGAACGTTCAGGGTTCGAGTCCCGCTGTGGATGTAAATGAAACGATGAGTGTGCTTAGTTTGTCAGGTGTCGAGCGGCTTGTCCAAAAGTGAACAAATTACACGAGCTGATTGGGACCTAAAATAAGTAATCAAACAGATTTCTGCAAATATAGCGGGTCTTGGGCGGCTTGGCGAAGAAGACGAATAGCGTAAACCATTGGCGACATGATAGAAAATTAAAGGACTTGGGCATTCAAATGAACTCGAAGTTCACAAGCTGCAATAAGTTGAATTATAGACATAAATATACTTGCCATTAATTCATCCATAATACGAACTTATCTTGAATAAATTCTGAAGTTAATCTTTCCAAATGAATGACAAACAGATTGAAGTAATAACTTTAACAA